CGCCCCTGCGCCGCTCATCCCGCGCCTCACGCCGCAGGCGGCTGCGGCTCCCGCCGCTGCTGGGACCCCGGCGGGCCGAGCCCCAGGGACGGGAGGGGAGGAGGGAGGCACAGTCTCCGCCCGAGCCGCCTCTCCGGAAGGAAACGATTTTTTTCCTGCCTGCCCCCGCCGTGCTCAGCCCCGTCCTCCCGCACCTGAGGCGGGTGGCGGGGGGCACCGCCCGGGGCCGGGCCCGCTGCAGAGCGGCAGGCAGGCGGGGGACGTGGAGGGGGCTTTGCTCTGCCTCGGGGCGGCCGTGGCCCGGTTCCTCCTCACGAGGAAAGGCAGCCGCGCTGCCGGTCCTGCCCCTCCTCGGAAAGGAGCTGCCCCCGGCTCCGAGCGGCTCCTAACTTTTCAGCTAACAAAATGTACCCCGCCCCCCCGCCTTGTCTTCCTCTCTCTCCTCGGAGGCTCAGAGCAGCAAAGACTTCCCTGTGCCTGACTGCGCCCGAAAGCTTGCCAACAACTCCCCCCGCCCCCAACTGCTCTTTAATAAAAGATAGCACATCCACTCCAAGAGCCGCGCCTGCCTGTGTGCTTAGACCAGAAGCTAAAAACCCGGCTCTCGCGCTCTCTGCTTGTGGCTCGCATGACCCACTCAAGTTGCACGAGGCTGAAGTTGGTTGCTTCTTCCCGGTTCCTTTTTCAAAGCTCAGCCAGACCCAGCAAAAGCTCGTTTATTAATGAATTGCACAGCCCAAAGACAGAGAATGTCATTATCCGCATGTACCAAAGCCAGCCTCATTCAAGCTGCAGGAAGTTGAAGTTGGATAGGAGGGGGGAAAAAAACTCCCTTGCCAGAAGGGTAGGGAAGCGCTAAAGCAGACTACATAGGGAGGTGGGGGCGCTGGAGCCTTAGAGGTTTGCAACTGCCACTGGTGGATCCATGGAGGTTTTTAAGACCTGGGTAGAGAAAGCCTGGGCTGGGATGAGGTAGCTGGGGCTGGTCCTGCTTGGAGGAGGGGGTTGGAGTAGATGCGACCTCCTGAGTTTCCTTCCAGCCCTCATGTTCTGGGATTCTGTGGTTTAACTACACCGGTTATCAGGAGCTTTCTTCCCCCCACTCTCAACGTCACCATTTATTAAGGAAGATCGTTGTTCAGGCCACCAGCTCAGGGGGAGAGTGACTCCAGAACTCAGGTGGGCTCATTCAGCAGTAGGTGACTCCCCACCCTTCGATGCAGGGTTTTTTCCCCGGAGTCTTAAGACCCTCCTATCCCCTTACCTAGAATACGCACCCCACCCCCCCCAGTACCATCCTGAAATTAACCCTACTTTCCAAGATCAACCATCTCACCCAGGCGAAATGTGTTTTTAGCACCTTCAGCTATCTGAAAGGATGGTTACAAAGAAGTTGGAGCAGACTTCTCAATGGTGGCAGATGACAGAACAAGGAGCAATGGTCTCAAGTTGCAGTAAGGGAAGTTTAGGTCAGATACTAGGAAAAACTCTCTCACTAGGAGGGTAGTGAAGCACTCGAACAGGTTACCCAGAGAGGTGGCTGAATCTCTATCCTTGGAGATGCAATCCACAAAGCCTTGGCTGGGAGGATCTAATTGGGGCTGGTCCTGCCTTGGGCAAGGGATTGGACTAGACTTCCTGAGGTTCCTTCCAGACTCTCATCTCCTATGATCTTTTACCAAGCCAAGTGTGAGTTACTGGAGGTCTTAGGTCCAGAGACCGTATGTAACAGCCTGTCATCAAAAGCACCAGTTTTTTTTGCAGTTCACAAAGTTAGGGGGATACACATTCAGCGTGAAATGCACTCAGATTCAAAGAAGGCAGGGCTGGGAGGAGACCGCCACACCACGATAATGGCAGAAGCTCTGGAAGAGTTGGATAAGCATTTAAAAAACAAAACCAAACCCAGTTCCTTCCAAAATGGCAATGTTGTGACCTCTTCCTTTGCTGGAGGAATGAAATTCCTCTTATTTTCGCATTTGGCTGCAAATCAGCCCAGACATTTCATCAATTAATTATAGCATTTTTTAAGCCTTACTTCCCCCCCCCCAAAAAGTGTCTTGCGTACTTAATAGATGAAAGCAGACCACTCTGCAATCTGGGAAGAAAAGGTGACTTACCCAGAGTAACACTGGTTCTCTGGCTGGTTTGCTGCTACGCGGAATTAGGTAATTAGCGCCGTGCAGCAATGAGCGCTATTAGGGGAAATGCAAGTGCTCTTTAACAGCCCACCGCCCGGCGGTGGAGATATCCCTGCCTGGGTGAGCTGATCATCCTTCAGCTCTGGAGGAATTTCATTTTTGCAGCCCTGCAGGAGCCCTGACACCTCATGCAGTCAAGCTGGGGCAATTTTCACTTTAAGCAATCAACTGGGGGGGAAACGCGTAGTGCATCTGAAACTCAGCTTCTCTTTGGGGCCAGAAGCAATCTGTGGCTAGGCAAACAATTTACCACCATTGCAAGATCCTTTGCTAGCAAAGCCCCATGCTAATACTGACCAAGGGAGGCTAGGGGATGAATTTACTTCTCCCCCCTCCCCCGATCTTCACTTTATAGTTGAGATTTCGCTTCACTTTATATTTGAACTCTTGTCCTGATCATCTCTGTCTCGAAAGCTGTGCCTACTTTGATCCTGTAGTGAAAGGGGGAAGCAGGAAAAGATGGAAGAGAGTTGGAAACTGTTAAAATGGCAACAGCCTGAGGTCTTGCTGCCTTTAATGGGCTCGCTGGAGCTAGTCACTTTTGTTTGATGAGAAACGTGCTGTGATGTTAGACATTGAAATGAGGGCACTCAAAAAAAAGTGTAGTTGAGAAAAGTTCTCTAAAATGTTATCGGGGACCCGGTGGTTTGTGTGTCTCCAAGCTCTCCCCATCGGAGACCTTCCGCTTAAAAGTCACTTTTCCTCCTGATTTCCACTCTTGCAAATGTAGCTTGGTGTCAGGGGAGCTGATCCAGCAAGAAAAGCTCATGTGGAGCTTGTATCCCGCTGCTGGCCAAGCCGGGGCTTCAGCGATCCCTGTAAGTGTGCTATCTCGTGTCGGTGCACAGAGCTAAGGGCTGGCATAGGTCCACTGATGAGGCACCACCAGATCGCTGCCGGTACTCTCAGGCTCAGCTGTGCTGGGGCTACCAGCTATGCGAGGGGTTTGGGAGTTTGTTTTTTGTTAGTTGGGGGTGGGGGTTGGCGGGGGCAGTATTTTGTCACTAAAATCAGTAGTTATAACTCAGACCCATTACTTAAAAAGATATGTGTGTGCTTCTCAAAATAAAACCACATCTTCAATGAGTTGTGTGCTGCCACAAGTCAATCTAGAGATCACCATAGAGACTTCTTGAGCAGAAATAAACATTAAGCTAAATATTCTGTAGCTACACATTATTCCAGAAATATAATACAGCCTCTGTGTTTGGTTTGGGGAGGGGGGGTGGACACCAGTTAGGCAGGATTGTTAGGGACACTTTCCTTTTCTTCTTTCTTTAATTAACAACTCAAGGCTCATTTTGCATCAGCACAGGCAACTGTGGCATCTAGTGGTTAATAATAATAATAATAATTCTACACGGGTTTCCAAAACTAAGAGAGAAACTCTGTATATTTGCTAATTGCTTGGATTGACTCCATGAACTGAAACTTGATCGGTTACCTTGTGTCTTGTAATGAGCCTAGGTTTGTTTCCTGGTCCAAAAATGTATGACTTAAAGGCAATGGTTTTAAAGTAGATAGCAGATTTAGATTAAATTGCAGCGACAGGCTTCTTCACTATAAAAACAAGATAATGAACCAGGCTATAAGATAAGCTATGGAATCTCACTGAGGTTTTTTTTCAAATAGAAGCTGGATAGGCATCTCTTTGGGCTAGTTTAGAAACATCACATCCTGCATCTGTGCAAGGGGTTGCATTTCATTGCCCCTCCCAACCCTATGATTCTAAGGTAGCTTCATACATGATGAAAGATAATGGCAATATATACCAATGACATCAAAAGCATGCTGCTAAAATGATAATGAAAAGGAAAGACTAAGAGTAGACAGGTTCAGACGTATTTGACAGATGGTCTTGGAATTAATCAGGATTAGGAATTAGAAAATGTTGCTCCCAGCTGTGTTGTTGCTTTCTGGTGTGATCTGGGGGGAGCCACTTCTTTATGCCATTTTTCCCCCTTCTGAAAAAATAGTAGGTAAAAGAAAATCTCTTCTTAGCAATTTAGGCAAGCAATTTGTAGTCATTAAAGTACTTTGATGGGGGAGGACTGCAGGAATATGGGAACATTACACTTTTTAAATGAAATGTTTTAACTGAGAAGAACATCATTGGCAGCAGCTGATGTGGGAAATGACCCCTCCTATGCATGGGAAGATCTAGGATTTTGAAAAGTGGGGTGCAGATGGTGGGGCACATCATCACATATAAAACAGACAACACACATTTTTCTCCAGTTAAAG